GGAATTCCCTTTTTTTTTTAGGAGGCTTTGTGATAACTCTATAGTTACACATGTTTTTGTTCATCATTCTTATACTGTTTGAGCATCGTCTCTCGTGTTTTAGGCCGATTCACGCTAGGTTGTTCTTGTTTGTGATATATTAGGTCCTAGTACGTGGATGAAGGTTTGGGCACGAGTTCGGGGTCGATTGGACGAAGTTGGGACATTCGACGGAAAGCTGAGGATTTTACGCGGCCAGACGATAATTCTGCGCGGCCGTGCGAGTTGGCCGTGCAAGGCTGTTTACAAGGCTGACACGCTACGACACAACGCCAAACTACGACCAAGTATAATCACAGTCCGGATGCAGAATAGTGGCAAGATCAATTTGTCAACCCTGGGTCTAGATCTACTGCCTACTCTGTGATTATCTATTATCTAGCGGGACTAAGTTTAGTGAGAGTGATTGTAATCAAAAGCAGTAAGAAAGCAGGAAATTGTTTGGTTTTCAAAAGCAAGGGGAGAGTCAATTTGGAATGAGTCCCCATAGTTCCTTAATTAGGTCCAAGTTTTAATTTCCTTTGGTTGATTTACTATTGATTAAACTGCGGAAGATCCGATAGTAGCTTGGAATCTCTTAACCTGACCAAGCCCTCTCAGACAGACTACCCGGCAGGCGACTAGCCTTCACCGGAATAAACTGCTAAGGCAATTAACACAGAACTCCACTAATGGAATTGGATTCTAGTACAAAGCAGTGAATTGATTAACTCTCGTATAATCAATTCACTACTATCGATTGAAGACGCTCTAACAACCTAATTAGATTCTATCTATCTCAGGTTGCAACAGAATTCAAGAAAAGTTGACCAGGCTTCAATTGACTCAATAAACACACTTCAATCGATTATAATCAAGCAGTATCTCAAACCAAAAGTCATTACAACATGATCCCTAACACATGGAACTAGGGTTCTGCATACCCAAGTGAGAGAAGGGTCTACTCCATAGAGAGAGAGAGGGAAACATAATTCAAAGCAGTCATACTCATAATGATGGGAATAATCTGCTCTGGGATGATAATCTTCTCTCCAAGGACGAAATCCAATCTTGATTGATGAAACCCAGCTCCAAAATCAATCTTAGGGTTGTTCTTCGCCCTTTCTCTCTCTAGGACTCTATTTTTGCTCTGAAAATTCGTCTCTCCCTTCTTTGGCACGAATCTGCAAGTTTAACCTGATACTGGCCAAAACACGGTCGAGGAAACGGCCGTGTTTAACTTTGTCCACCCGTGTTAGAGAAGTACACGCTCGCGTCGAGTAAACCACGGGCGTGTTCTAGGAGTGACACGACCGTGTTTCAGAACAGTTGCGCCCGTGCTTTGGACTCCTCAGCAGCAATCACCAACAAGCTCTCGGCATAAAAAAAACACGGGCTGTGGACACGGCCGTGTTTTCTGTGAATTGCGTCTGTGTTTGCTCCTTGCATCGATTCAGCTCGCGCACTTAAAAGCAATGGTGTGCCCCTTAGTGAACATGGTCGTGTTTCTGGAGTAGTGATAACACCTAAATTATACATATATCCGCCTACACTTTTACATCCTAAAATAACATAAATTGTACCAAGTTCATTCGATTTCCCAATTTTATGCTTGGTTTTGTGTTTGAGTAATGTTTCAGGGTATTCTATCCAATAAGAATGGAATAATGAGTCAATTCAACAAAAAGATGGTTAGGGTTTGAAATCTGGCGTCGGTGGAACTCGAGCCCGTGACGTACCAGGCAAGGGCAAAGAGCCGTACCACTTCAGCCGCGTCCCCTTTTGTTATCAATATACGAAACCCGTCGTTTATTATGGTGATGATCACGGAAAGAGAGTCAAACCGCAAACTGCCGAGTCAAACCGCAAACTGCCAAACATAAGGAAAGCTGGTTCATTTTGGGATTCTCAAGGGAAGCTAGTAGCTATAGCTAGTGACTCACGTCCAAATAAAGAAGCAAGCAGCTGGAGGATGGTTGGTGTCAAATGAAGAAGCAAGTTGGTCCCAAAAATAGAAGCTAGCTGGTCAATTACTTGGGAAGCAGGCAGGTCCATACGTAGGAGCAAGCAGGTCCATTATTCGGGAAGCAAGCAGCTGCATCGACGTCCTAAGCAAGCAGCTCCTCCACCCTTGCCTTCGTCGCTCGATCGTAGCTGAATCTAGTAGCTTGTGCAAATCACGTTAAGTGGGAGCAAGCTACCAGGTCAATTTAATGGAAGCAAGCTAGAGAATTAAATAATGAAGCAAGCACGTCCATTATAGCTCGTCCATAACTGAAAGCAAGCTCGTACATTATTTGAAAGCAAGTAGCTGCCTCGTTCATGAATGAAAGCAAGTAGTTGGCCATTGAAAGCAAGCAGCTGGCCATCATCAAAGCGGTCAAGAGACAAGCAAGCAGCTGGTCCATTTATTACAAGAAAGTAGCTGGCCTGCAAAGCTCAAGCAAGTAGCTCAAGCAAGTAGCTCAATTTGTACTATAAATAGAGGGAGAGGACACACACACACGGGATATATTTTGTTCTCTCTTTCTTGTATTTGAAGTTAGCCGAAACTCTGTTGATTTTCGTTCCAAACTCTTGTTACTTCTTCTCATTTCGTTAATCATATCTCGTTTTTCATCCATCGTGGTTCTTATGTTTGTGTTCGTATTTGGGAATACCGTGGTATATTGCGTTATTGAGATTACCGAAGTGAGCTTCTATTCTGTGGGGTTATGATAATCATTTGTGGTGGTAGATTGGTCGGTTTCCACCGTCTTTGCCCAACGATTATTCCCCCGTCGGAAGTTTGCTAGGTGTAATCTATTAACTCAATATACATGATGGTCCCACTCTGGCCGAGCTAGCAGTTAATCTGCCGCCAAAAGCCAGGTCCCTCACTGTGTTGGAAGTTTGCTAGGTGTAATCTATTAACTCAATATACATACCGTATTCTCAACCCCTCCGTCTTCGTCGTCGTCATCATCATGGTAATGTTCTCAACCTTCATCTTTCTAAATCTCATCATGTCCGGCTAATCTTCTAGTTGTTCCGGATTTGATGAACCCTAATATGTTTTACATTGATTGAGTGGTATCTTTGATATAGACGTGTTGTTCTCGTTCTTACGATCTTTTCTTGACTTATCATGTGCAAGTATCAATAGTACGCGTCTATTGTATATTTTGTCTGATACATGTAAATGAGACTGCGAGGTAATTTTGCATGTTAGATCCCTCGTGAAAATAAGGAATTGATCGGAACCACCGGCGATGGGGTCACGTAGTTCCTCCGGATTAGGTTAAAAACCTTGTACGAAAATTCATAAATCTGGTTATTGCTTTGGTTTAAGATTTTTGTAAGCCACGGTTTCACTTGATTCTTAAGTCGAAAGGGTGTTAATACATGTGCGAACGGGTTAACACTAAATTGGGAATTTTCACGGTCTAAGATATTAACACTCGTCTATGTTAAATTCAACTTGTCTGTAAAATGCATATTAGGGGGATTCACTTCCGGGACAACGCCTTCTCCACTTGATTTTACTTTGAAAACTACTTTATTGTATTTTTATTATTGCGTGTGTTTTTATTTCTAAACGAAAATCAACTAAAAACGATTGACTAGATAATAGGTAAAAGCTGAGTACTAGTACACGAAGTCTCTGTGGATACGACCTTGCTTCCTGCTATACTACCGTAGAACGATAGGTACCCTTGCCTATTTTTCCTGTGTTAGTTACGGGAGATCAATTTTTTGGCGCCGTTGCCGGGGACTAAGTTATTAGAAAAAGCTTTGAACTATTAATTTAGTCGCTTTATTTTTCTTGTTACTTGTTATATCACACTTGTTGCTTTCACCGGTTGTTCTTGTTTTTGTGCATGAAATAGTGCATGACCCGAAACCACCCACGTGGACTAGTCGACCTTGATCCCGAGATCGAGAGAACTCTTCGTCAACGAAGGAGAGAGCAACAAGTGCAACCACACACAATGGCGGAAGAACACGCTGAAGTGAACAATCGGACAATGTCTGATTATGCCCATCCTACCTTGGACGGAACTCACTCAAGCATCCGAAGGCCCAATATCGAAGCCAACAACTTCGAAATCAAAACTGGGATGCTACAAATGATCCAAAATTGGGTGCAATTCAATGGGATGCCCGACGAAGATCCCAACACTCATATCAAGAAGTTTCTGGAGCTCTGTGACACCATCAAAATCAATGGTGCATCCGTCGATGCTATTCGCCTTCGACTATTCCCGTTCTCTCTCGACAACAAAGCACGGGAGTGGCTTGACGGTCAACCGCGGAATTCCATCACACCATGGGACGGGTTGGCTGAAAAATTCTTAGCCAAATATTTCCCACCAAGCAAGACGGCGAAGCTGAGGAACGACATCGCCGCCTACCGCCAAGAAGACTCTGAAACTCTCTACGAAACTTGGGAGAGATTCATGAACACCCTCAGGAGATGCCCTCATCACGGCATTCCCAATTGGCTACAAATGCAAACTTTCTACAATGAGCTAAATCCATAGACGAAACAATCAATTGACGCAGCAGGGGGTGGCACCATCAACAACAAAACACCTCCCCAAGTAGAGTAGCTAATCGAAGACATGGCAATGAATAGCTATGAATGGTATTCCCCCCGAACCAAGTGCAGACCACCGCCGACCAGAAGTGCCGGACTACACCATGTTGACCCAGTTACAGCCTTGGCCGCACAAGTTGAAAACCTCAACAAAAAGTTCGACCAACTCACTGTATCCGGCAAGTTGTTCAAGTGCGAATGGTGTGCTGGTGACCACAACACTACCGAGTGCAAGTTGATATCCTCAACATCAACCACCGAGCATGTTGATTATATCAACAATCCTCAGAGGAGCGGAAATCCATATAGCGGCACATACAGTCCAGGATGGCGAAACCATCCAAACTTCTCTTGGGCCAACCAAGGGAATCAACGAGCTCCACCCGGATTTAATCAAGCATCATCAAGCAATTCCAATCAGCACCATCAACAACTGCCACCACAAGAAAAGAAATGTAGTCTCGAAGATATGATTGGCAAGTTCATCTCCACCTCCGACTCCAAATTCCAAGCTTTGGACAAATACATTTCCGTCTCCGAGGATCGATTCCAAAACCTCGAAGCGGGCCAACGACATCTTCAAGCTTCTGTGCATAATTTGGAAACACAAGTTGGGCAAATAGCCAAGCTGCTTTCTGAGAGGAATCAAGGCAGCCTGCCGAGCGACACCGAAATCAATCCGAAGCAGAAGCAACATTTGAAGGCCATCTCACTCTGGAGCGGCAAAAAGTTGCAACCGAGAAACTCCCCTCAAACCGACAAAGATACAAATCTTAAAAAAGATGCGGACACCACTCAGCCCCAAAAGCTCGTGGTGCCAGAATATAAGCCGAAAATTCCATTCCCATCACGAATCCACAAGGATTGCCTTGACGCACACTTTGGCAAATTCCTGGACCTCCTAAAGCAAATACATGTTAACATCCCATTTGTGGAGGCCATGTTTCAAATGCCAAAGTATGCTCGCTTCCTGAAAGAAATCCTCACCAACAAGCGGAAATTGGAGGAGCTGTCAACAGTGATGCTGAATGAGGAATGTTCGGCCATCCTCCAAAACAAGCTTCGAGAGAAACGAAAAAGACCCAGGGAATTTTACTATACCTTGCTTAATTGGTTCTGTCTATATTGATAAATCTTTAGCTGACCTTGGAGCAAGTATAAATGTTATGCCATATAAAATGTTTAAACGTTTAGGGCTAGGTGAACCTAATCCTACACGAATGAGCATCCAGTTGGCTGATCGTTCCATAGTGCACCCTAGGGGAATCATAGAAGATTTAATTTTTAAAATTGGCTCATTCATATTCCCAGTCGATTTTGTGATCCTAGATATTGATGAGGATGTCGATGTGTCATTAATTCTTGGTAGACCGTTTCTTGCAACTGCAAAGGCTCTGATTGATGTGAATGATGGAAAATTGATTTTGAGAGTAGGGGAAGAACAAATGACATTCAAAATTCCAGAAAGCATGAAATATGCTCGTGAAAATGATGATGCCAATTTTTGTTCGGATATAATTGATGCTGAGACTGCTAACTTTGTTTCTGAGATTCTTCATTCAGATGCTTTACATCTTTGCCTTACTCAAGGACAGGAAACAACGGGATCTGTCCAACAAATTGAGCAAGCTGCACTATTGGAGGAATCCGAAGAATTGGAGCAGGAAGAGAAGGTGGCAGAACTCCCTAAATCGGAGAAAATCAAGTCCTCCATCGAAGAACCACCAACTCTCGAACTGAAGCAGTTACCAAACCACCTTGAGTATGCTTTCCTTCGAGAGAACTCCAAGCTCCCCGTCATCATCAACGCGGCCCTAACTGAGGAGCAGAAGGGGAGATTAATCAAACTACTGAAAAGTCATGAACGAGCCTTGGCTTAGAAGATCTCCGACATTCGAGGAATCAATCCCTCATTTTGCACGCACAAAATTCTGATGGAGGATGACTATAAGCCGGTGGTCCAGCCCCAACGTCGATTCAATCCAAACATGAATGAAGTAGTGAAAGCTGAGGTGATCAAGTTACTCGATGCTGGAGTAATTTACCCCATCTCCGACAGTTCATGGGTGAGCCTTGTCCAGATATCATGGAAGTCTTCATGGATGACTTCTCAGTATTCGGAGATTCCTTCGACAAATGCCTCCACAACCTTGAAAAAGTTCTAATCCGATGCGAAGAGACAAATCTTGCTCTCAATTGGGAGAAATGTCACTTTATGGTGACCGAGGGCATTGTCCTTGGACACAAAATTTCATCACAAGGCATCGAGGTTGATCGAGCCAAAATTGACGTCATCTCCAACCTTCCACCACCAGTCAATGTGAAAGCAATAAGGAGTTTTCTGGGGCATGCCGGCTTCTATCGACGCTTCATCAAAGACTTCTCCAAAATTTCCCGACCATTGACAAAGCTTCTCAAGAAGGATGCTCCATTAGACTTTACGGTGGAATGCAACGACGCATTTGCGGCACTAAAGCACAAACTGACCCACGCCCCGATTATGGAGCCTCCCATTCGAACTCATGTGTGATGCATCTGACTACGCCGTAGGAGCTGTCCTCGGCCAAAGGTATGACAAACATTTCAAACCAATTTCCTATGCAAGTAAAACCTTAAATGATGCTCAAGAAAATTATACAACAACTGAAAAGGAATTACTAGCTGTGGTGTTTGCAATTGATAAGTTCAGATCATACCTAGTTTTATCACGATGCGTTGTTTTTAGTGATCACTCTGCTTTGAAGTATTTAATGAACAAGACAGACGCTAAACCTCGTCTGATTCGATGGATTCTTCTTCTCCAAGAATTCGACATCGAAATTCGAGATAAAAAAGGCGCAGAAAATTTGGCAGCAGATCACCTTTCCCGACTGGAAAATCCAAAAGATGATGTTTCAGATGAAATCAATGAAACATTTCCGGATGAACGACTCTACACAGTAGGAAGAGTTGAACTTGACACCCCGTGGTATGCGGATTTTGCCAATTACTTGGTGGGAAAGACTCTACCAACTGGGCTCTCGTACCAACAAAAGAAGAAATTCTTTTCTGAACTTAAATCTTATTTTTGGGAAGAGCCATATATGTTTAAAGTCTGTGCATATTGTATCATCCGCCGATGCATCCCACAACCCGAAGCATGGAGCATAATTTCTCATTGCCACCAAGGTCCGACCGGAGGACACCACGGAGCCAACCGCACAGCGCGAAAGGTATTGGAATGTGGATTTTATTGGCCAACAATCTTCAAAGATTGTGATGCATATGTACGCACCTGTGATGCGTGTCAACGGTCAGGTAATATTTCCCAACGTGATGAAATGCCACAAACAATATCCATTGTTTGTGAAGTATTTGATATTTGGGGAATTGACTTCATGGGACCTTTCCCGACCTCATTCGGGAACAAATACATACTCGTGGCAGTGGATTATGTATCCAAGTGGGCCGAGGCACAAGCCTTGCCAACTAATGACTCTCGAAGTGTTGGAAAGTTTTTGCGGAAACTATTTTCCAGGTTTGGATCACCGCGAGCAATCATCAGCGACCAAGGAACCCATTTCCAAGGTCAATTCGACAAAGTTCTCCAACGATTTGGTGTAACTCACCGGGTCTCCACAGCGTACCATCCTCAAACTAGTGGTCAGGTGGAGGTCACCAACCGTGAGCTCAAAAGGATATTGGAGAAAACAGTCAGTCAATCAAGAAAGGACTGGGCAACAAAGCTCGACACTGCATTATGGGCTTACCGTACGGCATACAAAACACCAATCGGCACCTCACCATATCGGTTGGTGTATGGCAAAGCCTGTCACCTCCCCGTCGAGTTGGAACACAAAGCTTACTGGGCGCTCAAATACCTCAACCTCGACGGAGATGCTACCAAGGACCATCGTCAGGCCCAAATCAATGAGCTTGACGAAATGCGCCTACAAGCTTATGAAAACGCCAAGTTATACAAGGAACGAACAAAACGACTCCACGATTCCAAGATAAAGCAAGACAAAAACTTCCACGTTGGAGATCAAGTCTTGCTATACAACTCTCGTCTTCGCTTGTTTCCTGGGAAGCTCAAGTCCAGATGGATCGGTCCTTATGTGATCACACAAGTATTTCCATACGGCGTTGCTGAAATTTCGCATCCCTAGAGGGGAACTTTCAAAGTCAACGGTCATCGTCTGAAACCATACCTCGGTGGCAATTTCGACCCCAATGCCGAGGCACTTCATCCTCAGAAACCTTGACAAAGTACACTACAGTCCAGCTAATACGACGTTAAAGAAGCGATATTGGGAGGCAACCCAATGCTGGTTTGCATTTTTCTTCCCTTTCTTTTTTACATTTCTTTGAGTTTTTCAATTTCAAGAATAAAAACCGTCACGAAACATCGACCAAAGAACTCGCCAAGTGGAACCACAATCACCGAACATCATGCCACTATATCCCATGACAAGGAAAATGGTAACAGTTCGAATCCTTACTCCCTATATTTTCGTCCATTGAGGACAATGTCCAATTCAAGTATGGGGGGGTATATTCGTTCGTTTTCATGTGTTTTGAAAAAGAATCATTGTGATTGTTTTCAATAATCTAATCATCCAAAAAAAAAGTTTGAAAAATCATAAAATTTAAAAAATTTCAAATAAATACTAAAAAGAGTGTTTTATTTTGAGTCTCATCTTTGCCTAAAATTGGTACAAGAATAGTGCAATTTGGATGCTTGTCAACCTATAATGACGACTGAGGGATTAAAACAAATGTTTCTCGTGCTACTCATTCTTTGATGGAAAGAACTATCTCAAATCTTGAAAAAGAAATTTATCATCTTTGATTGTTGTTGCATAATGTTTGGGAAGCATAGCATGGGAAACTGAGCATATAGTAAACCACGTGAGACTTGAGCATGATCGTTTCTTTCTTGTGTGTTAGATCCCTCTCTGTGCATGATGATATGCTTGATTTATACATGTTTGAGTCGGGACACCACTGACAAGGATGACGGAGGCAATAGGTTCTACCCCTACAACCAAAATGACTACCCTGAACATCATATCCCTTAGTCAAACCCCGTTGAGACGAGCCTTTTTGTTCGGTGACAACCTATCTTAAACCAATCCCTGTTCTTCAAGCCTCAATTCATTTTGAACCCTTTTTCAAGATTCCGTGTGAATGGTTTAAACGAATAACTTTCTGCTTCATTTATTAAATACAAAAGTTGAGATAGGGAGAAACGATTTCTGTAAGTGCATTTTTCAAAAATGGAATTGTTGGCCACTCGAAGAAAAAAAATTAACAAAGAAAAAAAAAGTGATCAGTTGGCCACCATCTTTCATGGACTTATGATAAATAGGAGTCATTCTTCAAAAGCCACATTGGCTACATTTTAAACTCCTATTAATCCTCAAAATCTTCTCCCTTGTCTATATTCTCATCTTACAAAGATAAGCAGAAAAGTCATGGTTTTCGAAAAAAAACAAAATTTGGAACCTTGAACTAACCACCACATCGAAAGTACTTCCACATGTCCGTAACCCTAACCCCATTTGACACCCGATCAAAGACCTACCTGACAAGTCAGTGGTGACACAACTTTGGAGACTCGAACAATAAGCTCATGGCGGAGAGATGGTACGGAAAGAGTGATAATTACATGCTACATGCATTTACCCTGACCCCACTGGTCGAGCAAGAGAGACTTTCCAAGTTCTAAAATCCCAAGTAAGATCTATTGGCTTGATCTCTCATGCTATGTTATGTGAACCTTATGCTTGAACAATTGATTGTGTCGAATGACTAATAAAGATAGAAGAATGTTCTTATAAATTTGAGTCAGAGTTGCCAATGTCACAGGAGTATTATGATCGAACGTTGTTTGTGGTGGTTGAATGCATCCATAACTCGCTACCTATTGCACCATCTTTAGCAATCATATGAAATTCACATTTTCCCAACTCACGGTTAGAGTTCTTGTTAAATTGGTTTTGATTGAACTTACATTTTTCGTGCTTTGCTTGAGGGCAAGCAGAGGATTAAGTGTGGGGGAATTGGATAACACCTAAATTATACATATATCCGCCTACACTTTTACATCCTAAAATAACATAAATTGTACCAAGTTCATTCGATTTCCCGATTTTATGCTTGGTTTTGTGTTTGAGTCATGTTTCAGGGTAGTCTATCCAATAAGAACGGAATAATGAGTCAGTTCAACAAAAAGATGGTTAGGGTTCGAAATCTGGCGTCGGTGGAACTCGAGCCTGCGACGTCCCAGGCGAGGGCAAAGAGCCGTACCACTTCAGCCACGTCCCCTTTTGTTATCAATATACGAAACCCATCGTTTATTATGGTGATGATCACGGAAAGAGAGTCAAACCGCAAACTGCCGAGTCAAACCGCAAACTGCGAAACATAAGGACAGCTGGTTCATTTTGGGATTCTCTAGGGAAGCTAGTAGCTGTAGCTAGTGACTCACGTCCAAATAAAGAAGCAATCAGCTGGAGGATGGTTGGTGTCAAATGAAGAAACAAGTTGGTCCCAAAAATAGGAGCTAGCTGGTCAATTACTTGGGAAGCAGGCTGGTCCATACGTAGGAGCAAGCAGGTCCATTATTCAGGAAGCAAGCAGCTGCATCGACGTCCTAAACAAGCAGCTCCTCCACCCTTGCCTTCGTCGCTCGATCGTAGCTGAAGCTAGTAGCTTGTTCAAATCACGTTAAGTGGGAGCAAGCTACCAGGTCAATTTAATGGAAGCAAGCACGTCCAAATAATGAAGCAAGCACGTTCATTATAGCTTGTCCATAACTGAAAGCAAGCTCGTACATTATTTGAAAGCAAGTAGCTACCTCGTCCATGAATGAAAACAAGCAGCTGGCCATTATCTAAGCGGTAGAGAGACAAGCAAGTAGCTCAAGCAAGTAGCTCAATTTGTAAATTAAATAGAGGGAGAGGACACACACACTAGGGATATATTTTGTTCTCTCTTTCTTGTATTTTAAGTTAGCCGAAACTCCTTCGATTTTCATTCCAAACTCTTGTTACTTCTTCTCATTTCGTTAATCATATCTCGTGTTTCACCCATCGTGGTTCTTATGTTTGTGTTCGTATTTGGGAATACCGTGGTATATTGCGTTATTGAGATTACCGAAGTGAGCTTCTATTCTGTGGGGTTATGATAATTGATAGACCGTTAATTACACATGTTTTTACCCCTGTTCTTACACCGTTTGAGATGTGATTTCTCGTGTTTTAGGCCGATTTCACGCTAGGGTGTGCTTTTTTGTGATATTTCAGGTCCTAGTACGTGAATGGAGGCTTGGGAGCGAGTTTGGGGTCGATTGGACGAAGATCGGGTGCGAGGCAAGTCACAAAGGAGGCCACACGGGCACACCCACAAATCACACGGCCGTGCAACTCATATTTCTGGCCGTGTGAGATTGTGCGAGAGCAAACACGGCCTGCCCTGACAACACACACGGCCGTGTGAAGGAGTGGCCTGGCCGTGCGAGTTTCGCCGAGAGCAGACACGGGCAGATGGAAATCCCACACGGCCGTGCGACCCTAGCCGTGTGGGAAGCCTAAAGATCGAACTAAGTGGAACGCATCATTTTGACTCACACGAGCAACTGGGTATGCCACACGGCCGTGTGGCCCTGCCCGTGTGAGTCGGGATTTCCTAGTTTTAACCCAATTTCGGGCTGCAAGAGGGAGAATCGGAATTTTTGAGCAAAAACAGAGCCCTACAGAGAGAAAGGACGAAGAACTCACCGTAGAAGCCATCTTGGAGCTGGGTTTCATCAAATCAAGCTTGGAGATCGTCCTAGGAGTGGAAATCATCATCGCGGAGCAGATTTTCCTCATCAGTATGAGTATGACTGCTTTGTATCTTGTTTTCCTCTCTCTCTCTATGGAGTAGAACCCCTCTCTCACTTGGGGATGAAGAACCCTAGTTCTATGTGTTAGGGATTGATTGTAATGACTTGGGATGATATTACTGTTTGATTTTAATCGAATGATGCATGTTTATTGAGTCAATTGAAGTCTGATCAACTTTTCCTGATTCCTGCTGCAATATGAGATAGATAGAATCTGATTAGGTTGCTAGAGTCTCATCATTTGGTAGTAAGAGATTGGCTATACGAGAGTTAGCCAGTTTACTGCTTTGTACTGGAATCCAATTCCAGTAGTGGAGTTCTGTTCTTACTGCTTCAGCTTTCTATCCCGGTGAAGACTAGTCGTCTGCCAGGTAGTTAGACTGAGAGGGCTTGGTCAGCTTAAGAGATTCCAAGCTACTGTCGGATCTTCCGCAGTCTAATCAACAGTAAAATCAACCCAGGGTAATTGCAATTGAACCTAACTAAGGAGCTAGGGGGACTCATTCCCGAGTGACTCTTACCTGCTTGAGAAAACCGTATCAATTCCTGCTTTATTTCTGCTTTTGCTTTTAAACAACAACCACTTACTTTAGTTGGCTAGATAACAGAGAATCACTGAGTAAGCAGTAGATCTAGACCCCGGGTTGATAATAGAACTTGCCTGTTACTGCATTCCCGGTCTGCGATTATACTTGGTCGCAGATTGGTGTTGTGTTTTGGCGTGTCAATAATCATTTGTGGTGGTAGATTGGTCGGTTTCCAGCGTCTTCGCCCAACGATTATTCCCTCGTTGGAAGTTTGCTAGGTGTAATCTATTAACTCAATATACATACCATATTCTCAACCCCTCCGTCTTCGTCGTCATCATCATCATGGTAATATTCTCAACCTTCATCTTTCTAAATCTCATCATGTCCGGCTAATCTTCTAGTTGTTCCGGATTTGATGAACCCTAATATGTTTTACATTGATTGAGTGGTATCTTTGATATAGACGTGTTGTTCTCGTTCTTACGATCTTTTCTCGACTTATCATGTGCAAGTATCAATAGTACGCGTCTATTGTATATTTTGTCTGATACATGTAAATGAGACTGCGAGGTAATTTTGCATGTTAGATCCCTCGTGAAAATAAGGAATTGATCGGAACCACCGGCGATGGGGTCACGTAGTTCCTCCGGATTAGGTTAAAAACCTTGTACGAAAATTCATAAATCTGGTTATTGCTTTGGTTTAAGATTTTTGTAAGCCACGGTTTCACTTGATTCTTAAGTCGAAAGGGTGTTAATACATGTGCGAACGGGTTAACACTAAATTGGGAATTTTCACGGTCTAAGATATTAACACTCGTCTATGTTAAATTCAACTTGTCTGTAAAATGCATATTAGGGGGATTCACTTTTGGGACAACGCCTTCTCCACTTGATTTTACTTTGAAAACTACTTTATTGTATTTTTATTATTGCGTGTGTTTTTATTTCTAAACGAAAATCAACTAAAAACGATTGACTAGATAATAGGTAAAAGCTGAGTACTAGTACACGAAGTCTCTGTGGATATGACCTTGCTTCCTGCTATACTACCGTAGAACGATAGGTACCCTTGCCTTCACCGAATGACCTTCAAATGCCCCGAAACTCGTGCCTAGCCCTTCCTTCGACGTCTAGGACCTGAAATGTGATAAAAGAGCACAACCCAGCGTAAAATAGGCCAAAGATACACAACTACGAGCCGCAAACAGATAAGAAATAAGGGTGCAAACATGTGCAAATACATCATTATCAAAGGCCAAATTCGTACTGGCCGTGCAAGGGCACCTTTTAGTTGTACAAGAATTCTAGGAGATTCACACGGACAAAGGGTGAATTCCACCCGAACGTGTGGCGGTCGTGTGACTTCCCGCGAGCAATTAAGTGCAACGCCGTGTTTCGTGATTTCACGAGGGCAGACTGGGGATTTACACGGCCGTGTGGTCTGGCCATGTGATCGGGCAGAGCTGGGTTTTTACCCAAATTTTGAGTCTTCAAGAGGGAATGGAGTTTTCGGAGCAAAAATAGAGCTTTAGAGAGAGAAAAGACGAAGAATAAGCTCTAGGATCGACTTTGGAGCTGAGTTTGACCACTCAAGCTAGGATTTCAACCTTGGAGTGACGATTTACTTCCCAGAGCTTATCATATACATCATTATGAGCATGATTACTCTGATTTCTGTTTTCCTCTCTCTCTATGGAGTAAACCTTTCTCTCACTTGGGTATGAAGAACCCTAGTTCCATGTGTTAGGAATCTTAATTGTAATGACTTTTGGAATGATATATTGATTGGTTTTAATCTATTGAAGTGTATTTATTGAGTCAATTGAATCCTGATCAACTTCTCTTGATTTCTACTTCAACCTATCATAGATAGAATCTGATTAGGTTGCTAGAGTTTCTTCAATCGATAGGAGTGAATTGATTGTACGAGAGTCGGTCAATTCACTGCTTTGTACTGGAATCCAATTCCATTAGTGGAGTTATGTGTGAATTGCCTTAGCATTCTATTCCGGTGAAGGCTAGTTGTCTACTAGATATTTTGTCTAAGAGGGCTTGGTCAGCTTAAGAGATTCCAAGGTATTTTCGGATCTTCCGCAGTATAATCAACAGTAATCAACCAAAGGGAATTACAACTTGAACATAACTAAGGAGCTAGGGGGACTCATTCCCGAGTGACTCAGTTTGTGCTTCACCCATCGTGGTTCTTATGTTTGTGTTCGTATTTGGGAATACCGTGGTATATTGCGTTATTGAGATTACCGAAGTGAGCTTCTATTCTGTGGGGTTATGATAATTGATAGACCGTTAATTACACATGTTTTTACCCCTGTTCTTACACCGTTTGAGATGTGATTTCTCGTGTTTTAGGCCGATTTCACGCTAGGGTGTGCTTGTTTGTGATATTTCAGGTCCTAGTACGTGAATGGAGGCTTGGGAGCGAATTTGGGGTCGATTGGACGAAGATCGGGCGCGAGGCAAGTCACAAAGGAGGCCACACGGGCACACCCACAAATCACACGGCCGTGCAACTCATATTTCTAGCCGTGTGAGATTGTGCGAGAGCAAACACGGCCTGCCCTGACAACACTCACGGCCGTGTGAAGGAGTGGCCTGGCCGTGCGAGTTTCGCCGAGAGCATACACGGGCAGATGGAAATCCCACACGGCCGTTCGACCCTGGCCGTGTGGGAAGCCTGAAGATCGAACTAAGTGGAACGCAGCGTTTTGACTCACACGGGCAACTGGGTATGCCACACGGCCGTGTGGCCCTGCCCGTGTGAGTCGGGATTTCCTGGTTTTAACCCAATTTCGGGCTGCAAGAGGGAGAATCGGACGTTTTAAGCAAAAACAGAGCCCTAGAGAGAGAAAGGACGAAGAACTCACCATAGAAGCCATCTTGGAGCTGGGTTTCATCAAATCAAGCTTGGAGATCGTCCTAGGAGTGGAAATCATCATCCCGGAGCAGATTTTCCTCATCAGTATGAGTATGACTGCTTTGTATCTTGTTTTCCTCTCTCTCTATGGAGTAGAACCCCTCTCTCACTTGGGGATGAAGAACCCTAGTTCTATGTGTTAGGGATTGATTGTAATGACTTGGGATGATATTACTGTTTGATTTTAATCGAATGATGCATGTTTATTGAGTCAATTGAAGTCTGATCAACTTTTCCTGATTCCTGCTGCAATCTGAGATAGATAGAATCTGATTAGGTTGCTAGAGTCTCATCATTCGATAGTAGGAGATTGGCTATACGAGAGTTAGCCAGTTTACTGCTTTGTACTGGAATCCAATTCCAGTAGTGGAGTTCTGTTCTTACTGCTTCAGCTTTCTATCCCGGTGGAGACTAATCGTCTGCCGGGTAGTTAGACTGAGAGGGCTTGGTCAGCTTAAGAGATTCCAAGCTACTGTCGGATCTTCCGCAGTCTAATCAACAGTAAAATCAACCAAGGGTAATTACAACTTTTATCATAGACACAATTTCAAAATGTACGTGGATTGCTGAGAAGGGAAGGTAAGCTATTCCCAAAATCCTGTATATCCAAAAATAATTCTTGTTTTGAAAATTCATTCTAGTAAAAATTGTATTCCTTAAAAAGTTATGCGAAATAAAAAAAAATTCATGTTGTTTGGATTTTGGAGCACAAAGTTATGGTTGTCCAAAGTTTGACGAAATCGAAAAAAAGCTCGTTCGGGGTAGCAAACGACATTTTTTAGGACGAAGGCAGGATCTAACCACCTTCGACTTGCAAGATCTCAAAAAGTTATGCGGAATCAAAAAAAAATTCGTGACGATCGGATGCTCAAACACAAAGATACGTCCGTTTGAAGTTTCCACCTAGGTTAGGATTTTTCAAAAAAAAAAAAAAAGCAGATCGCACCCTGGGGGTGCGATCTGCAACCAAATCGCATGGTGGGGGTGCGGTCTGCAAAACTGCCCCCTGGGGGTGCGGTTTTCATCGAAAAACGCGCCCCTGGGTGGCGGTTTTCGCCTAAACCGCACTGGTAGGGAGCGGTTTTTGGAAAATGGTGCTATTTTTGGAATTTTTCGGACTTAGGTGCTATTTTTGGATTTTTTTTTTTTAAAATAGTGCTATTTCTGGAAAAATCCCAAGAGTTTGCTGGTCAATGTATGGGCACAATTTCTTGCAACAATCAAGTGAAGGGAAATTGATCCCTAATTAAATTCATTCAGCTTCAACGAAAAGAGGTGAGTGTAAAGGGGGTAAATTGTACGCCTTACGTATTTTTCAAGTATTAGAGTTTTCATTATTTTTGTGAAGTGTTGCTATGCTTATTTATTCTCATGATTGATGATATGTGCTTGTTTGAGCTGTGGTTTATATTGAAGGTGTGTTGTTTGCTTTAAAGCTTTACGTTTGTTAGCTATTGTTAAAGTTAAGAACAAGTCCTTTTGTTTGAAGAAGTAACTCACCTTCAAGAAGGTGAAGTCGTTTTAAGTGTTTTTAGTCGCTAGCGTCAGTCCGTTGCCATTTGAGATTTTCAGATAGAGAAGCAGTTATGCTCTTAAGATCTTTGAGACAGAGCAGCAGTTATGCTCTTGAGATATTTAAGATGAGCAGCAGTTATGCTCTTGAGAATCGTGGTGAAGAGCCAGCACGATAAGTTTAAGATGTTAAGGGGATGAATCGTTACGACTTCCCTAAGTAAGTTTAAGTTTAAAGAAAGCCTGGATGGCTTCTCATACGTATGAGTTGGCAACCGGACTAGCTAGTGAGGGATCCCAGTGTCAGTCAAGTATTTAAGTTGAGATTTAAGCTTTAAGAATGGAGAGTAACAGTTACTCCCATACAGTTTTAAGAGTTAAGATTTTTAAGAATGTAAGTACAAACAACTTCCCTCACTTTGAGTTTAAGTGTTTGAGAAGAAGTGCAAAATTATTAGAAAGTTTAAAACGTAAGGGCGTAGACTGACCCCAACTCACTCACCAGGCCTTAGTAAGGGAATGAGCGAGAACCAGTTCAGTAGCAGCTAGCTAGAGGAGCAGTTAGAGAGCAGCGAGTTCGAGAGGAAATGTTCAAGGGCAGCCTGCTAGAGGAGGGCAGTGTAAGCGTCATAGAGGATGCTTAGCCAAGGTTTCAGTAGCAACAACATTAGAGATTATCAGTTATTTACATTTATGATTATGAGTATAGACTGGAGATCATATTGAGATTTAAATTTTGAGTTTAATTTGCCCACTTGTTAAGGCTTTGCTCGGAACTACAAGTGTGTTTTCAATATTTTATTTATGAAAATTTTTCCCGCTGCAATTTAAGATTTGAGTATTTTATTTGTCAAGGGCATTTTAGTAAAAGTAGTACCCGGCCGGGTTAGGGTGTTACATTTTGGTATCAGAGCCAGTCTTCCTCTATTTCTTGGTTTCCAAGGAATACTGGAATATCGGTCTCAGTTTTAAAGGTTTTTATTTAAGGGAAAGGAAAGCGAGTCAAGTGTCTTCTTTTAAGAGTCTATAGAATCTCCAGTCTACTCTGATCGTATTAAGGTAAATAACTAAAGTTCTAATAGAAGAGGTTCCAATCGTAAGGGAATACCTCTAGGATTTCGAAGTAGTACGAGGATTTTACTACTAGGAAACAAGTGGATGATCTAATAAGCTAAGACAAACAAAGGGGAGAAACATGAATCTCCAAAGGAAGAGGAACAATCACCAGATGCCAGTAGCTGTGATACTAGGATGATGTTAGGGTCTTTGGTCCTAAGCAGTGGAAAGTGGGCAACGGGTCAAGAAACGAAGAGGTACCCCGAGAAGTCCCTCAGCTGGTTTTTGTGGTCGATGGCTCAACGCCATTACCACATAGTGACGAGGAGTAGAGGAATGTTTGGACTTTAAGAAATGCTAGGGGAGTATAAAGGAAACAAAGGAGGAAATAAGTAGGATACATGGGGTAGGAAAGGACATCAAGAAGTTAAAAGGACAAGGTGGAGAGGAGTCATGGTCATTTCCATATGATGATAAAGGAACCCTTCTAGATAAACTACCTCACTAGAGAAGAGGGTACATGACCCTGGGGAGTTAGGCTGATAGCAAGCCTTTAAAAGGAGCAAGACAAGCAACGAGATAAATGATGTAGAGGATAAGTTATGGTCTCAGTACGACCACTGTTAGACGAGACATGGGGGAAGGTACCGCTGAAGTCTAAATCATAGCTGGTAGAAGACAGTGGGGAGTCAGTAAGTAAGAAAAGATTTGGAATGTGAGAGGGAATAACAGTTAGCCAGTAAATAGCAGTACGAATAGAGAACCACTTCTCAGCAATGTGTGAGTTGAATACTAAGTCAACACGGAGCTGGAAAGAGGATATTAGAGACCCTACAAACTACCCAGATCATGAAAGGTCAGGAGGTCGTTGGGATAGTTGAAAAGGGAATGCAAGAGTTCACGATGATCTGTTATGGGATTGTCCTCTCTTAAATAGAGGGAACACCTAGCCTCCTAGGGTACATGAGGGGTGACAGAAGGAGGAACCTCTCTACTAAGTTGGAACTAGAGGGCTAAGAGCTGAAGTCTCGGAACTAGCTATAGAGTAAGTCATTAAGCCAACCGAGTATAGACAAGTAAGTGGAATGTTCAATAAATGTTCTAGTGAATGGCAGAGAATTCGAGGAAGCACATGGAAGTTTCGATGAAGGATTGAGAATATGTGTAGGTGACTGGGGTTCAAGAAAATGCATAATGGAGTACGATGAGGAAAAGCATTACAGAGAAGGAGGAAAAAGAGAAGTTACCTTATCCAGGGTGCCCCACTCTGAGTGGGCGCGACATAGTAGGATGTCATCCATAAAAGAAAGCCAGTTAAGGATAAATTACTGATATCTAGTTATGCTGCTAAGAGCCATGATTAAGAGATTAAGGCTATGTACAAGCATCGGTCGATACAAAAGACGTGGATGAAGTATGTTCAAGCCTACCAAGGGCAAGTCACTATTGGAAGCTTTGACCCAAAACAACAACGAGAAGATACTCAACGGAGTTTGGTGGCCGAAAACAGTACAAAGTATCAACAGAAGGGTAGTAAAAGTAAAGGAGCAAGGAGAACACCATAGGACGCTATAGGAAATAAAATAAAATAAAAGTTGGTTGTCGACCGGACAATGAATGCGTGAAGGAAGATAGTTGGGACGTGGTCAAGCACCATCGTGAGTAGAAGTCGTGGGTGTCATCTGTCAAGACTAACTAGAGAAAGTTTCTAGTGGAAATGTTGGCTCTGAGGTATGGCGAGGAGCTACTAAACTTAGTAGATCAAAGCTAGTACCAAGCATCGATGGAGGAGTTGTGGAAGTAAGGAGGAAACCACAAGGCTATAATGAATGGTGAAAAGGGTGGTAGTTGATAAAACGACAAATTCAGGCAGAAAGATAGTTAGGAAGAGCCGGTGAAAGAATACGAAGGTCAACAATGAGGCGTTAAGATGATTGCCAGTGGAGAATAAGTTGGACCATAGGAAGCCCATCAAGAACTGAGAAGCTCAATGGTCAACTTTAAAGTATAAGTGTGGTGGTCCAGAACAGTCGAAGGGAAAACCTTATCGGTCAAGGTACATTAGTAAGAAGAGAATTGGAGAACCTAGATGACTACATCGAGAATAAGGACATCCTCTAAAACTAGCGAGGAATATCAGGTTGAGAGTCACGAGTAAAGAAGTAAGAGGGATATGAGTTTAGGGAACCTGCTAGGATTCCCCAAAGTGAAACCAAAACCGCCTATGAGGGTGAAAGGTGGCGATCTCTTGGGTGACAATTTCTTGGACGGGGAAACTGTACGATGAATTTCAGCCAAGGTCTAAGAACGATAGAAGAGATAGTATGAGAAATCCCAAGTCAAACGGTGATAAGTAAGTGCTAAGTTAGGCGCCAGGAGTGAACAAGTAAGCCAGAGAGAATGCCATGATTCTTGAGAGGAGTCATAAAGTTGATCGCAAGCTAGAGAAAGATGCAAAGGATGCCTTTAATGCATACAGGAAGTAAAAGCAGTAGTATGAGATTTCAGAGTTAAGCAAGAAGTAACGAGGAGATGACCACTCAGTTTATGGTTAAAGGATAAGACGAGGCATCAAGGAAGAAAGTAAGGGGTGCGAAGTTAGGAGATACAAGGACCTAGGTGACCTATGTGGTCAACCACAGACGGGTTTACGTTAAAAGAGTTTTGCGATCAAACAAAAAGGAGATCACGCTGCCATAAGTAATCTTGGGGTCAAAGTGGTATTAATTTCTTACGTACCAAATGATGGAGATGGCGGATGCCCTAAACACGTTCGGAGTAAATGACCAATGTGAAGGGGGTAAGAGGCATCAGACAACAGGGCATTACCGAGCAAGTCGAACACTCACCATGAACGTTTACGTCATGGATTTCAAAGGTGTGCATCAACAATCGTGAAAAGGAGAACATCATAGGTCAAGTTACTGGTGAATTATTAGACGATGTTGCTTAAGAAATTGTAAGGGGGAATCTTGAGAAACCGCGGTAATCACAAGATGTTTTGAGTAAGGCACCACAACATCGAAGCCGTATATGGGTGGAGAATTTCATAGTTGTATCGAGCTAATAGCTAGCTAGGCAAGTTGTCTAC